GATAGAGGACTTTTTTTAATGCTTGAATGATTTATATGTCAGTATAAAATGGTTAAACAAACAAACACACAAACAAAATGCTTTTCAGATGATGTGATCAGATGCAAGGACTGGACTGAAAATTTGTGAAAAAACACGAAGACCTGTATGAAGAAACCATAGAGAACTATAAATTAACCAAAAGAAACATAATGAAAGTGTTTTAGATGCACAACAAAGGAAGAAGTCTTTAATACAGAAACTGTTTGAAAAGTCATAATAGAGACTATTAACACTTTGAAATAAAATAGCTACAAGAAAGCCAAGCAAGTGCTATATGCAGTGCATTGCATGTGTACACAAAAACCACAGCAAGAGCAACAGCTCATCACCCCCCGATGTTGTCTTCTGAGCTTTTTCCACAACACGCTACTCTCATACTGTCAAACACAGCCATGTAAAGGACCGGATGGATACACATGTTCACAGTTGCCAGTCCCTTTGACACTTGGTACATATCATAGATCCAACAGACAGCGTTGTCCGGATGCAACAATCTTAGATGCAAGTGATAAATCTGAAAGAAATGATAAGGCACGAAAGAAATGGCATACAGCACAAGCACTGATGCGACTAACAGGGCGACTTTGCGTTTCTCAAGAGGGGTTAGGTTGACATTCTTCCAAACTACCCAAATCACCACACAGTAAGAAGTGAAAGTAACCAGGAAGGGAACGAGACACCCAAACACAGAGAGGAAAAATTTGTAAAAGTAGTGAGGGTGTTCAGTCTCGTTGCAGAAGGACACGCACTGAATTTTGTTATTAGACCCATCTGAGCAAACAGAGGCAAATTTCAACACCGGACTGGAAATGACTCCAACGATGACCCATATGATTATACTGGTGACCTTGGCGTGGCCAGGCGTTATATAAGAGCGGGTGAAAAATGGACAAGCGAGGGCCACGCATCGATTCACGCTTATCGCCATGATGAAGAAGATGCTCACATATAAGTTGCATGTGAAAAGAAACTTTTCCAGCTTGCACACAGCGTCGCCGAACATCCAGTGCTTGTCCTTTGAGTAGTAGACGATCAACAACGGCAGGGTGAGGACGTACAGCAGGTCGCTGATGGCCAAGTTGCATGACAGAACAACACCGGTGTGCCAGTTTCTTCTCTCTTTGACGACCAGCAGCCACAGGGCGAACAGATTTCCAGCCAGAGCCACAACAAACTCAACTCCATACACCACAGGCAGGGCGCCTGTTTGAAACTTCTCACATTTAGAGAAGTTAGACAGCATGCTTTTAATTTGCTTTTAGGTACACTGTTAGAACTGTCCAAGCCCTGCAAATCAAAGCATATTAATGCATTAAATTTCATTATCTAATAAAACAACAATTATTCTGGCACAAATTTATATTTTTGTAGAAAAGGAAGTTATTGAAGCTATTTATAGAAACCGCTTTTCACTATCTAAAAGTTTAAAAGTGTTACAGCTAAAACAGAGATTATATTTAGTAATGAATTGTTTTTTTCTCTTACCGAAAGGGTGACGAATAGTGCGTTATGACTTGAAAGTTAATTCCTGCGCGATAGGTAGGGAAAATATGAAACGCTTCTCAAGTACCATTCTTATCTCTGTCAGTGATAGAAGTGAGCGAGAAGCGGAACGCACGCATGAGCATAGAAGCAACTTCCTCATACCCTTTGTCTTTATTTCACAACTAGAAGGAAAAGCACGACACCAACGTCACGCATCTGTAATAGTTAGTCACAGGACAGATTAGGTATGTTGTAGCAAAGCTTCCATCCATATTTGTTTTGTTTTTTTAATCTTTCCCTTCATCTGCCATTAGTCTAATTTTGGGAGGATTATTTATACATATATATATATATATACATTATAACAAATGTAATCTATTCCATATTAAATAGGGTAAAAACAAAAAGTGAATTGCTGACCAGGAATTTTAAAAAACTAGGCAAAATCATCCTTTTGTGGTGCTGGGCCAACATGCACTGCAGGAGCTGCTTTGCTTATTATTGTTTGGTGTGATTGGCAATATACTACTTCCCTTTTTCTTATTCTCAATGCAACTCTGAATTTCACATCAATATTTGTAGGTGTCAAATGTTCAGAACTGTACATGAAAGCTTAGAAAATGTGTCATAGCAGATATTAAATATAGTAAAAAGGACTATTAAAGGTCAAGTTCATTTTATGATCCTTAAACACTTGAATCTTCATTTATCATACTTAACCATCTGTTTCTCAGATACTTTATTTTCAGAAAGATCAACATATTTTGCTTTCAAGAACGTGTCAAAAACAATAGGTGACATTTGAACTTTTAAGTCTTAATATTTCATTTCATTTTAAACTGGTATCAAAAGGTGCTCATGTAATGCAGTTATTTTTCATTTAGCTTTTCCTCATCTGTAACAGTGTTTCCATGACATCATGCTTGGACAGCAACTCAGGAAGAGATACTAATAGTTGCTGGCTGCTTTCTTCCAACTTTGTAACTCTTTGCAGTTACTTAAAGTTTAGTAAAACAAAAGATCGATTAAAAAGAGACAAACTGGGAGTCAATTTATTTACAGAACAAATACAGTTTGAAATTCAAAGATCTTTGCATGACAGAAAGAGGTCGGTTTTCTGGTGACAAATATAAATGCTAACAGGAAACTCTCACAGGCATCACTTGCAGATAAAGCATTCACCAGTTAAATAACAACTTTTCCACGTTTCCTGCTGGAAACAGAAAATTTCTCCAAGTCCAGTTTAAAGGGAAGTACTGAAGGTCAGCCTTTTCCCTTCCTCTGTTTGAAGCCTTGCTTTCTTCCTCCTGCACTCTTATTAAAGCCCATCTTGCCTTTCTGACTTTTAGACTTGAATGGTGTGTCCCCATTTCTCTTCTTTTTCCCACCAAATCTATCCTGCTCTCCAGCTCTCTTTGCTCCAAAAGCCTTTCCTGTGGGCTTCATTTTCTTCCCAAATGATTTTTCCCCATCCCTGGATTTCTTCCATCCTTCTTTCTGTTGTTTTTTCCCTGTTTGCTTTCTATGTTGTCCTCCTGGTGATTTGGAACCTCTGTCTTTTAAAGATTGACCAGGGGACAACTTCCTCTTCTTGGCAGGTCCATGAGATTTTTCTGAACTCCTCCTCTTCTTCTTTCCACTCGGAAACATGCCTACATGGAAAACATCTGTTAATACTTAAAAAGACCCCAGTGAACTAAGAGTGTTAAGTAAATTAGCTACAGTCACCTTCTTCTGGCTCCTCTCCTACGGCCTGTCTGTAGTACTCTGCCTCGTCATCAGACTCAGCATCAGCTTCCTGACCGTCCTGAGCCCCTGGATCCTCCACCTCACTGTCCTCTTCAGCTTCGGCACGTTTCTTCTTAATGCCTTCCAGGCTCTTTTTCCTGTGAAAAAGAAGTGGAGACACCGTTTGTCATAAACCGCATCAAAAAATGGATACAAAAAAAAAAAAAAAAAACAGGGCTTATGAATGCAAATTTATGGTAGGAAAAAATAAAAGAGGATGGGTAATACAAGTGCAAAAAAAAAAAAAAAAAAAAAAAGGGTCAAAACATTTGAAAGCCAAATTACCGGTGCTCTTCTTTTTTCTCTGTCTTCTGAGCGATGTTCTGCTCCTGCTTTTTCCGGCGTTCCTCCTTCTCTTTCATCTTTGCCTCCTTCCTCTTCAGGATCTCCTGGATTTCTTCTTCCGTCTTGGAGACTACAAGGATTGTACAAATAATTCCTGGTTAAGAACAGTTTTTGCCAGCTTCCAAATGATAAATAAAATTATGCAAGTTCAGGGTGTATCAGTAAGCGTTTACTTTTTTTTTAAGAGAGAAATCATAGAATTCATACTGTTTTTTTCATCATGTACACCCCTGTATATGCTAAAGAATAAATTAGGAAAAGGCTGCGCTTACTCATGGAGTGATATATGATGTTCCCCTCGCCCATCCCTTCTTGAATCTTCATTAACCGCAGAGTCATGCGAGGACCAATCTGAGAACAGCACAATGCAATTTTCAGCACCACTCAAACACTATTCAGGAAAAAAAAAAAGTCAACTTTGTGTGAGTACGCACCTCGGTCAAGCGGACGGCACTCTGCTGGGACGCCATGTTGCCTCTTCCAGAGTAGACCTGTGGGAGTTCGGTAACGTTGTGCTCCTCGTCTTGCTCAGCTTCACTTTCTGAGAGGTTTGCCCCCCTGAGAATGGTTACAAAGAACATTTCATTAGACAAAACTCCAGCTCACCAACTCGACAATGGCTACAAATCCGAGCCCCTTTTTATCCTTGAGGCTACAGCAATTGTACCTGCAAAAGAACCTTACTTCATCAGCAGCTCACTGATATCCTCAAACTTGTTCATATTGGGGAACCTCTCCTGCATCAGCTTCTTGACTCCACGGCTCAATCCCACAGGGACAACCTTCAGGCTGCTGCAGGGTGGGAACAACATATTGGTCAATTTCAATGTGTAATCAGTAAACAGAGTAAAAAGACAAACGTTTTTATCCTGTGGGGGCTCATCAGTGCGTTTACTTTGGACATAGATCACTGAACAGTCAAGTCAATGTCTGTCATCATCTGAGCCCAAATTTCACAGGATTGTTGTTGAATGTAGGTTTAAGTAACTGGAACTAGTTTCGTGTACGTTCCTTAACAGCGCGTCATCTGTGATGTGTGTGCAGATGTATAGATTCAAAAGCGTTGTGACCTGATGTTTACAAGCAACTTAAAATGATAAAGAATAGCCAATTTTTACTTACTAATGTCGGAATTCAATTTCCTCTGACTCGGAATTGTAGCTTAACAGGACACACCTCTTGATGGTGTTGAGGCTTACCTAAAACGCAAGAAACAGAACGAAACATTTCTCTTTAGTGGAAGTCAGGGTTAGGGAATCACAAAGCTGAATGGATCAACAGAGAGATCAGAAAGCGTTTACTTTTGATAAATCTTCACATAAACTCAGAAGACTATACTTTCATCATATCAATGAGGTTTTAAACCTCGAGTCACCCAAGGAAAAAATACTGCAGTAGCTTTAGTGGTAAAACGCACCTTGTGCACATTTATGGAAGGAAACATGTTTTGGAACATGGTGGCCATAAGTTTGATATGCATGCCATCTTGTCCAAAGTTATTGAGGATGAGCAGCGGATGATACTTGAACTGCTCCTCGTGCATCCTGTGCTTCTTCAGAGATGAAATAACATCTTTGATAAGACAGTACTGAAAAAACAAAACAAAACAAAAAACAACTTTGTAAAAGTAAGGAATAGAACGATCAAGAAAGAAATCGCAACTTTGGTAGTTTGGGCACATCAGTGCGTTTACTTCGAAAAACATCATTTATTAATCACATTTTAAAATGTCATGAACCCATGACTCATTTGATTTAGTTTTACTTTGTATGCACAGTTTCAATTATTTACCTTGGTGACCTGGAAATGAAGCATGGGTCCTTTGGGAAGACGAGCAACTCTCTGTAAGAAGAATGTTTGATTTGATTAACAGAGGCACAGATTTGACATACAGTTGCAAATGCATTTGTTTCCAGTCTAATATAAGGATTCTCAACCTGATGTGACAGGAAGCCAGGTGCTTGCTAATATAAACAATATAAAATGTAAAAATTAAAAAAAAGGTCTATCTAATATTTCGCTATTTTCAAATGACTTAACTACTTTAGCTCTGACACCAAGCACATTTAGAGGTAAATTATAGGCCTCAGTCAATCAATACTCTAAGGTCATCTTACCATGTTGATACTGGTGGGTGTTTTGCTGAAGATGTTGAAATGCGTCACTCCCAGTGGTCCTGCTATCGCAACAAAGTCTTTGAGCACATTCTTCTTCCTAACCTGTTTTTTTTTTGGTAAAAAAGTAAAACGATTTCACGCACAGTCTGCAGAAATAAAATATGAATAAATCAATACAATAGTTGCCCAAAGAACTCAAAGAAGGGACCTTGAGAGAGACTGCGGTGTAGGGCTCCATGACTTTCCGGATATCGATGATGAGTTGACCCACGTTTTTTCCAACCTGGCCCCGGTGAAACACCAAAGTGTGGGGCACAGCCGAGTAAGTCTCCTCGGCCTCATGGTTGGCCTGTAATCGGTCTTTCTTCTGATTCCGGGTCTGTTGAGCGCGATAAACACATATTAGTAAAGGGGTCAATTTCTGTCTGTTACTGGTCTCACGTTTAGCTTTAAGTTTGGTGAAAAGAAGGCTAACGTGAAAGGGTCTCGTGACACAACTAGCTTTACAAACTACACACATTTTCATACTCATCGCTAAATACAGCTCGCCAACAGGGTTTCCATTTAATAAAAGTAACAGTTTGGTTTTTCGCAAACTAACAATGATTAAATAGCCTCTTTTCACATCGGCTAATCTTTTAGCACAGGCCGGTACTTACCTTTGATTTCCCCATAATTCAGCTCGAAACAGAGCGCAAGAATGTAATGGGAACAAAAACACACTCACAAAAACTATTGCTATACTATACTTAAGCTACCAAAAACGATCAAGCTCATTTTTTGACGATATTAACCAACAGCTAGTCCAAACTAAAGTTAACGTGACGCCACCCACATGGCTCTACTCTGCTTTTCTAGTGTGTGTCACAGGCT